CAACTCAGGTCTCATGGTGACCTGGTTGACCTGGTGTCCCATAGTGAAGCATTCAGTTTCCACTGAGGCCCAGTAACAGGCTAAGAGCTGTTTCTCAAAAGGAGAGTAGGGGCCGAGGAGATGGCTCAGTAGAATAAGCACTTCCCTGGCAAGTGCAAGGGTCTGAGTTCAATCCCCAGTTAAAAAGAGAGAGTAGTTATCTGCAGATGATGGCAGAGCCTTGCTCCAGAATCCTAAAACATCCCTATCTACCACTGACACTTCAAGTACCATTGGATCTGTTGGATCATATGGTCCCAGAGGCATATGAGTATCAGCCTGGACCTGTTGCAGGGCTTTTTCCTGTTCTGGGCCCTACTCAAAATTGGCAGCTTTAGGCATCACTTGGTAAATGGGTCAGAGTAAGACACCAAGTGAGGAACATGTCTCCAAAATCCAAACAGGCCTACTAGGCATTGTGCCTCTTTTTTGGTCACAGAGGGAGCTGGATGCAACAACTTATCTTTTACCTTAGAAGGAATATCTCTACATGCTCCACACCACTGTTCTCCTAGAAACTTCACTGAGGTAGAAGGACCTTGAATTTTTGTGGATTTATTTCTCATCCCCTGGCTCTCAAAATGCTGTAATACAAACCCAAGGTGGTTGCCACCTCCTGCTCACTAGGCCCAATCATCATGACATCATCAATGTAGTGGACCAGTGTGACAGTTTGAGGGAGAAAAATTCAAGATCCCTACGAACTGGACCAGGGAGATAGCTCAGTAGAATAAGTGCTTGCAGGTCCCGAGTTCAATCCCTGGTACTGCAAAAAAAAAAAAAAAAAAGATTCCTACTGAGTTGTGACACGAGGCAGGACAGTTAATATACCCTTGTGGTAAGGCACTGAAGTATATTGCTGGACTTTCTAACTGAAAGCAAATATTTCTGATGGTCCTTATAGATACATATGGAGACGAAGGCGATTGCCAAATCAAAAGCTGGGTACCAACTACCAGGAGATGTGGTAATCTGCTCAAGGAAGGAAACCACATCAGGTAGTACAGCTGCAACTGGAGTCACCACTTGATTCAGTTTACCTATCTGTCTTCTGCACAGGCCAAATGGGAGAATTAAATGGAGATGTGGGGACCACCACCCTGCATCCTTCAAATCCTTGATAGTAGCATTAATCTTTGCAATCCCTCCAGGAATGTGGTACTGCTTTTGGTTCACTATTTTAACAGGCAAGGGCAGCTAATGGCTTCCATTTGGCCTTTCCTACCATAGCCCTCATAAGACAGCTTAGGGAACTAATGTGAGGATTCTGCCAAGTACTAAGTATATCTATCCCAATTATACATTCTGGAACAGGGGATATAACTACAGGATGGATTCAAAGACCTATTGGACCCACTGTGAGTTGGACCTTTGCTAAAACTCAATTGATCACCGGCTCTCCATAGGCCCCTACTCTTACAGGAGGGCTACAGGTGTTTTGGTTCCCCGGGAATCAGTTTCAGTTCAGAACCAATGTCTAGTAGTCCCCAAAATTGCTGATCATTCCATTTTCCCTAGTGTACAGTCACTCTGGCAAAAGGCCTTAGGTCCCTCTGGGGAAGGATAGGAGGAAGACTGACTGTACAAATTCTGGGGGCATTAGGATCCTGCTCCAAGGGAACCTGGCCTCCTCATCATTCAAGGGGTTCTGAGGCTGTAAACTGGCTCAAATCTGGGAACCATTTGAGAGGCTGTGATTATCTATTACCTTCATTCAAAGTAGGTCTCTGTTGTTTTGCCCCATTATTCTTCTGATTATATAAATCCAGCAACAATTTTGTAGGCTTCCTATCTATTTTGCTTTTGGGAACACTGTCACTAATCAGCTAATGCCATAGGTCTACATGTGTCAGATTATTCTGGTCACCACTCTTTTGTTTATGTTGTCCATGGTGATTAAGTGCTGCCACTTGACCTCTGCCATTCTGGGATCCAATTAAGCCCATGGCCCTTAAATTTCCTAATTGAGTAACTGCTTTCCCCACTGTAAGGTCTGGCATGCCAAGAGGAGCAATGACAGGGCTCTTCAGGGATGCTGGCGCTCCCCTCACAAATCTGTTTCTTGAAGTGTTAGTAAAAGGTATGTTTTTAGGATCATCCTGATATGAAGGGTGAAGTTTAACACGACAGATCCACTCCATCATCCCCATTTCCCTAAGCCTCTGAATCCCTTCATCAGTAGTAAACCATGGAAGATCAAGCATCTCTAGCTCATTCACAGTGGGCCATCCTTTGAGCCATGCTTCTGTCAACCAGCCAAATAGACTTTTAACACTTTCTGTACTCCACGAGCTGCAGCATTGAATTCAGAATCCCTATCTAATGGGCTCATATCAACAAACTCAGCCTGATCCAGGTGTGTGCTTTTGCCACTATTATCCCACACTCATAAAATCCACTCCCAAGCTTGCTCATTAGGCCTCTGTAAGAGTTAGAAAACTCAAGGTCTTTGGAAGAATGATGGATCGCTTCGTGGATAACATTGTATATCTCACCCTTAGGAGACTTCTGTGTTTGAATCCTGGTTATGGGCCTAGAGGCAAAAATGGGTGCTGAGGGTGGGTCCTGAGAAGTCACAGCATTATCCTGTTTGTTTCACTCAGGACTGGTGTCTCCAGATAGAGTAGGAGACACTAGTATTGCAGAGGATGAAGGCATTGATTCCTCTGCCACAGTGGGCAGAGAATTCTCTTTCTCAGACAAAATAATCTCATTGGCATCTAAAAACTTGGCCTCCTCAGGATCCTCCCACACATCTCCATTCCAATTTATGGGATCCCATTCTTTCCCAGTCAGTGCCCTCACCTTTGCTTCAGATCCCTCCAGGCTGAACCTTTAATTTATGTTGCGGTTCAGCCAATCGAACTAGGAGGGACTGCATTTGGGTTTCTGCAATCTCAGTCTTGTGGCTAAAAGAAAGGAGATTTTCTGTCAGGACACACTTAGAAACTTCTAAATTTTTTTTTTTTTAATTTGGGTCTGAAGGAAGGAAATAGAGTCTGTGAGCTCCTTATTTTCATGCATAAGTTTGTCCATTGAGGCTAAGACCAACCAACTGGTATCATTACATGCCCTACTCCATCAAAAGTGTTCAAAATTTTTATGTATGGAATTGCTAAATTCCTGACATCTCACAAGTGGTGAATTTGGATAATCAAATGGATCAATATGGTGTTATTACATTAAACAGCACACACCACGCAGTATCAGTGTGCTCCTTAAGATCAGGAGAAGGAGCTGGGGAGGTGGCTCAGCAGAATAAGTGCTTCCCTGGCAAAATCCCCAGCTCCACCCCCCAAAAAAATCAGGAGAGACCATGGTGTCTTTAGGTCTCATCAAATCTCAGCGCCAACCCCAGGAACTCTTAAAGCCATTTCAAAGTGCCATTGCTATACTCTGTTTCTCTAGAGCCACTCCCGGTATCTCATTCTGTCTTAGTTACACCTCTCTTGTTGCTGGGACCAATACCCGATACCCAAATTGAAGGAAGGAAAGTTTTGGGTTTTTTGTTTTTTTTTTTTGCACTGGGGATTGAACTCAGGACCTTGCACTTGCCAGGCAGGCACTTCTGCTGCTGAGCTGTCTCCTTCCACGGAAGGGTTTATTTAGCTCACAGTCACTGGAGGGTTCAGTCCATATTCAGCTGAGTCCAAGGCAGAGCAGCACAGAGCAGAAAGCAACCTTTCATAGCAGTGGCAAAGAACAAGAGCACAAAAGTAGGAGTAGCAGCAGCTCAAGCAGCTAGCTTCTTTTCCCTCTTTACACTCAAATGCAAATTACCTGCCCCAGGGCAGGTGCAGCATCCACACCCACAATAATCACAAACCCCAGAAGCCACCACCCCAAGACTGCATGAACCTTTGGGGGAACACCTAGACACAAACCATAACAGCTGCAGACACAGGAGTCTTCCTGGAAACCTCTGGCTTAGAACTGCAGACAGGACATGAAGGGACCCAAGTGATTTATGCTTTTGAGCTGGAGTATGTTGAAAGCCCAGTTGTCCCACACAGTAACGCTGTGACTTCAGACAGCGGCTTAATCTATACGCTTGAGTGATCTTATTTACCACATGGGTGTAGCAATGGCACCTTCCCCAGAGCATTGCTGTGAGAGAACATTCTAGAAGTCTTAGAATGGGCCTCTTCTGCCAGCACCTATTGTTGTAGCTCAAAAATCAGATGACAATGAGGCAAGTCCAAAAGTTAAGGAAGCGCTTTATTTTAGCTGGTACCCAGCGGCAGACACCCCGGCAAGATGCTGAGGTGCGCGCCCAGGAGGGGAAAGACAAGGGTTTTTAAGGCTGAAAACCGCAAAAAAGGAAGGGGGGGGGGGCAAGCAGCATACAGAAGCAGATCGCATTGGTTAATATTAAGACAGTTTGTATAATACCTTTAAAATAATTGGTGGATTATAATACTAGATGACCAGATGGAGTAAGTCTGGGGGGAACTGGGGGGAACTAACCTTGTGGTTGTTATATTCCAGGAATGTTTTAAGAAATTGGGGCACTGTGACCTGGGACATTTTGCTGTTATGGCTTTAACTGGCCATGAGTTTGGAAATGTATGTCTTTTGAAAGAATTTAAACAAGGGGAGGGCCAAGGGCAGCTTCTTGGCTAACTTAGTGGTTTTATAGCTTGTCCTTGAGGCTTTACTGGACTCGCTCGGGGGGAGTTTTTTCCATAACAGTCATAACAGTTTGGGGGTGGAAGAAATTTTTAGAAAATGCTTACAAGGGCAGGGGTAACAAAGGACACAAGTATACAAAACGGCACATATAGTACAAGATGGCGACACATGTGTCAGGCTAGGATTACAGTGGAAGCATAAAAGGATACAAAATTTAGCATTAATTTTTACAGGTTATAACACCTATATAGTGCGTGTAGTGATAGAATGCAACTCAACACCCCTGGCAACCAAAGAAAGACTTCCACTCACCTCAATTGTAAAAACACAGCAAGAATGATGCCGATTTTGAGGCGAACCTACAGAAGCAAAAGTCCTTTCATTACTGTGTTTGTAGAGGTGATTGTTGGTTTGAACTGGTTTTGTGGGGTCAGTTTTTCTCCTGAAGAATCAGCTGTTCCCTTTTGAAGAGTATTTATACACAGAGTCTGTCACCATGGAGATAGTCAACATAGAGAATCCAGGATCACATCACTGTCCCTGTGGGCTGTAACTGAACTCTCAGGGCTTTTGTATTCTCTGAGGTTAGATGAGAGCCAGCCACTCCCTGCTCAGTAGGGTGACTGGGGCCAGGATAAAGGGCACCTCAGACTGAGAAACTTCACTGCACTTCTCCTTTCCTGAGAGCCTGCGCAGGCATAGGAACTTTGGACAGTCTATCATGTTCTCAACTGTGCTAAATCCACAGTCATTCTCAACTCCAGGCTGGCAGA